CTGCAGGGGGTCTGGAGACGGAGACGGACTACAGCTACAAGGGACACAAGCAGGCCTGTGGATTCTCCTCTGGGAAGGTGGCGGCCTACATCAACAGCTCTGTGGAGATCTCCAAGGACGAGACAGGTGGGCCAGAGACTGACAGGGAGAGAGAGACAGGGGGTACAGGGACAGACAGGGAGAGAGAAACAGGTGGGACAGACAAATGGGGAGAAAGACAGGAGGTACAGAGGCCGGGAGGGAGAGAGAGAGACAGGGGGTACATGGACGGGGGGTTGAGGGAGGAGAGCCGTCTGAGACCTGTGCTGTCTTTCAGACATGGCGGCCTGGCTGGCGAAGAATGGACCCATCTCTGTGGCTCTCAATGCTTTTGCCATGCAGGTACTGTGTCTGTGTCTGTGTCTGTGTGAGGGGGGTCCCGTCTGCACAGTGGGGGGGGGGGTCCTCAGTGCGCCCCTGCCCAGTGGGCACAGGTCACCATTAAAACGCCCATTTCCCCCGAGGGCTCGGAGATCAAGGGGAGCAGACCGCTTAATTAGTTAATTGGTCAGTAACTCGCAGGTGCTCCTGGTCCTCGGAAACCGGTAGGGGCTCACTGGACTGGGGGCGCCCCAGTGCGTCTACAGTATTGAGGTCTCATCTGGCTCCCTCTGTGTGCCCAGTTCTACAGGAGGGGCATCTCTCACCCCCTCAGGATCTTCTGTAACCCCTGGATGATCGACCACGCCGTGCTGCTCGTGGGCTATGGACAGCGTAAGTCTCCGTTCCCGCCAGCTGCTCTTCCTGGGCGTGAATCGCGGTAGTGACTCGTTGTGCGAGGATGGCGGTGTGGTCTGGTCTGGCGGCAGCGCGTGGACTACAAGGCCTTTAAGGGGTTGATCAGGTCGGCCCAGTCCATCACTGGGCCACCAGCTCGTCCCCATTGTGGACAAGGCACTGTCTCGGGAAGGCGGGGAGTACTGCACACTGGTCCGCGTTGTAGGAACTCGCCTCCAGACTCGGAGACAGCTTCTTCCCACAGACTGGCAGATTCCCGAATCCTCCCCCGACCTCCGATTCACACCGGTGTTTCTGTTGCACAACTGCTGGTGTTGAGTTTTGTTTAAGATGTGTGTTATTTGACTTTGCCGTTGCTGCTGCTGTTCTGTGATTAAGCTCGTTTCCTTAATGTCTTTGTATTGGAACATACGTGCAAAATAAGCACTTCTGCGCACTTCAAGTTTAACTTGTGCACACGACAAATCAACTTAACTCTGCACTCATTTCCCCCGGGCTGAGCAGCTGTTAAACAGTTAAACTTCTGCCTGTCATGTTTCTAGAGAGAGGGGCTGGAACAAGTGATCTGTAAAACCTGGAGAGGACCGGACTGCTGTGACAAGGAATCTGTTGTTTATTTCCAGGCAAAGGAATCCCATTCTGGGCCATCAAGAACAGCTGGGGAGAGGACTATGGAGAGCAGGTGGGAGAGATTTTTAAGTTGTTTTTCATAGTGCACTGCCAAGAGGTTTATATAGGGCACACTGTACCCTTACAGTCCAGAGCCCGCCGGTCCGGTCTGGGTCACGCTGTACCCCTACAGTCCAGTCTGGGTCACACTGTACCCCTACAGTCCAGAGCCCGCCGGTCCAGTTTGGGTCACACTGTACCCCTACAGTCCGGAGCCCGCCGGTCCAGCCTGGGTCACGCTGTACCCCTACAGTCCAGCCTGGGTCACGCTGTACCCCTACAGGCCAGAGCCCGCCGGTCCAGCCTGGGTCACGCTGTACCCCTACAGGCCAGAGCCCACCGGTCTCCAGTCTGGGTCACGCTGTACCCCTACAGTCCAGAGCCCGCCGGTCCAGCCTGGGTCACGCTGTACCCCTACAGGCCAGAGCCCGCCGGTCCAGTCTGGGTCACGCTGTACCCCTACAGGCCAGAGCCCGCCGGTCCAGCCTGGGTCACGCTGTACCCCTACAGGCCAGAGCCCACCGGTCCGGTCTGGGTCACGCTGTACCCCTACAGTCCAGAGCCCGCCGGTCCAGCCTGGGTCACGCTGTACCCCTACAGGCCAGAGCCCGCCGGTCCAGTCTGGGTCACACTGTACCCCGACGGTCCAGAGATCGCTGGTCCGGTTCAGGAGCACACTGTGATCAGGATTCTCCACGATGCCACCTGGGTGCAGGCTGGGGATTAGCTACCCTGGGTTCTCTCAGCAGCGCAGGGCGTGGGGGGAGTCCCAGTGCCCCCTGCAGGCTCGTCAGGGGGAGGGGCTGGTTGCTGAAGGATTCAAAACTGTTTCCAAGCTGCTCTCTCTGCAGCTTAAAAACAGGAACAGGGGTTCGAGGAAGCCCCTTCAATCCAGGGGGATCTGACCTCTTCCTTCTCTGTGTCCTCGCAGGGCTACTACTACCTGTACCGAGGGGCCCGGCTGTGCGGGATAAACCGGATGTGCTCGTCCGCGGTCGTGGACTAACGCCGCCGGCGCGGGATCGGGGAGCAGGAGCAGGGGGGGGAGGGTTTTTTTGGGAAGGAGCTCGGGTGAGGGGTCCACCACCGCTCCCGCTTGCAGTGACACATCACCCCAAGGCTGGCAGATGGCTCCCCTTCCCATCCTGCCCCTCTCTCCGCCGCACCCAGCCAGCCCGGCTCGTAGGGAGCGTCCAGTCCATCCCCGGATCTTATCCCGCTGTTCGTCGGAACGCCAGGGTCTGGGGCATCTTTCTGTTTGGAACCTGGTGTTTAGCGTCTGTGAACACACAGGATGGGAGGAGTACCTGGTGTGAACCCTGTCCCCCGTCTCTGGGTATCGGAGCTCCCTGGTGGGTGGGTGGGCGGGCAGCAGCGCCGCCTAGTGGGCGCCTGCAGAAGGGCGAGACGGGAACATGGGAGCCCGCTCTCGCTGGGCATGCTGGTAGTGAAACATGGGTTCGAGGGATACAGGTCGAAGGCAGTGGGTTTTAGTGCCGCTGCCACACAGCTCTTACCTCCTGGGTTCCATTTAATAATAATAATTAATAATTAATTGCTTACACTTATATAGCGCTTTACTAGACACTCCCCTCAAAGTACTTTACAGGTAATGGGGACTCCCCTCCACCCCCACCAATGTGCAACCCCACCTGGATGATTTAGGCTTGGGGGAACCTTCCGGGTTGAGCCTGCATGTTCCCTCTATCCTCCCACCCTGCCCAGAGATGGGGTTATAGATAACTAGCTTCTCTAATTCAGGTGGCGAGAGGCTAGCGCCCCCCGCCGGCCACAGTTCCTTTCCGCGCCCTGTGCTTCCGGCGCTAGGCTCTCGTGTGCCGGGACGCTAAACCGGGAAGGAGCAGGATGAAGGGAAATCGGGCCTTTTCATTCAAATGACCTTTCTGCGGGAGGGGTGGAAGAAGGCAGAGAGAGAAGCAAGAAATAAAAGGAGTAAAAGACCTGTGATTGTGGTCCAGTCGGGTCCCTGTGTCTCCATTCACTTTTTATTATTTATTTTTCGGCCTGACATCTCATTTTCTGCTTTTAAAGGTCCAAAACGCGCACACACTGCTGCCAAAAAAAAACAACAACAGCAACAACAACCCACAACCAGACGATCTCATCTCACTTCAGTTTATTTAAAAAAAATAAAATGGAACCAATCAAATCAAAGTGATGCCCTCCTGTTCCAAGTGCCTTTGTTTAAAATAGGAGTCGTTTCTCTTCACAGTAACCGAGGAACAGGACCCCTTGTGTCAGTTTCAAGCCAGCTGGATAAGGCCCGCTGAAAAGGTGGGGAACGGACGCCAGCACCGGGGAAACTGGGTTTGTCCCGGATCCCCCAAACGTTCCGGGCGACAATATTCCCCACGGGCTGAACCTCTCCCCCCACAGTTGGAAAACTGCCCCCCACCCCCCACCTTCTTTGTATGAACTGAAAGATAAAACAACTCTTCAAGAACTGTTCATTCATTGCTAATCAAATCATCCATCAGCTCTCAGACGGGCGCAGGAACGTGCTAGGTGCCCCTAACGACCCTAAACATATCCAAAGGGACGTCTTTTCGGTCCTGTCTGCCTCACTGGTTGTGTGATTTTAGCTGGAAGAGTCCCCGATTCTCCCCCTACTGCCCTGCGTTCTCACACCCTGCACATCTCAACCACACTGGAAAACGTTTTCACACATCTAGATTGGGGAAAATACATTCCCGCAATGGACACGGATGCGGATAATTCTAAAAGGCGGAGCTAAACGGACACCAGGTTAAAAACTCCATAGCGTGACTGAAGAGAAAGATCCTCCCTGGCAATGCTGGATGCTAGAAATGCCGGTCTCTTATTTTTTCACTTTTTTGTTCAATGACCTCCCTCTGGCCTCTACCACCGTCCAGATCTAGCAAGGACAGCAACCGGCCCCCCCCAGCTGCCCCGCGGCCTGACGCAGCCCAGGCTCGTAAGACTCCTGGGAAGGCTCGGGCACCGCAGGCGTCTCCAAATAATACCGGGGCGGGCAGCCTCAGGGACCGGTCGGGGGGGTGGGGAATCTGTCCCCCCCGGGGGCCAATTTCGGTCCTGGCCTTGATCACCCGGATTGCCTTGGAATTCATTCCCGTCGTTTCTTGTCCAATCATAACCCCACCCCAACAGCAGCTTGGCAACGACGCAGTAGGCAGAGCC